TGGGTGGATAAAAATGCTAGATCCAGTCTAAACACCCAGCTGATTGTGTAATCAACCATAATAATAATATATATTTTTCTTCTGGTCTTGAAGAACATTAATCCAAGGTCTCTACTGAGACTATTGGAGGCAGACTTAGGGAAAGAACAAATGTATTTTGTTTTCTGCTTACAGATCCAATATATAAGGAGTGGAGGAAACTATCATATAATCTTGACATGGTTAAACATGACCACAAAGAATTTTTCTTACCAGAAAAGAAAGGATAAATTGCCTAATTGTAGCAAACCATATGCTAATAGAAGAATTGCCATTTTGGCATATTGCCGCTGCTTTATTCAAGAAGAGACTCTTGATTAAGAATAACTGTTTATATTTCTTGCCATATCTTCAGGTTCTCCAGAGATTGACAGAAATTCTCCTAAACTTGGGATGGTATATACGTCCCACTACTGCAGTGGTTCTCAACCTTTTTAATGCCGCGACCCCCAACCGGTCGTAAGTCAAGGACTAAACCGGTCGTAAGTCGAGGACTAAACCAGTCGTAAGTCGAGGACTAAACCGGTCGTAAGTCGAGGACTTTCCCTGCCTGGGAGTGGCATGCATGCGTGGTTCAGCCCCCTGCGCCGGCTGAGGCGTAGCTGGCAAGCGGCAGAGACGGAGCAGGCCAACCACCAGCTGGCCCAGCCCAAGGGAGGTAAGATACACGCCAGAAAAGGGGAAAAAAATGGCGGACAGCCTTGCTTGGCGACCCCTGTGAAATGGTCGATTGACCCCAAATGGGGTCGCGACCCATAGGTTGAGAACCGCTGCACTACTGGATGTACACAAGACAGCAGTTGCTTCTAAAGAGCAGGAGTTGCCCAACCCTCAGATGGATTCTCTCTTCTCCTTTCCTTTACAATATTTCTTTGTTACATTCTGATTTGTGGTAAGAGAGAGACATTTATTTTTGTATTTTGTATTTTGAAATTCTTGTTCAGGTTTCTTCTGAACTGCAGTGAATTTGGAAGCTCCTTATGAACTTTCCCTCTTAAACTTCTGGCCTAGAAAGCTTGCTGGAGGCCAACTTTTTTTTTGTTGGTGCAGCCAGAGCCCCCAATAAGGTTGCCTGCCAATACTTGAGAATTCTGTAGGAGAACTTTACTTCCTTTATTTTTCATTTTTGATATACCAGCCGATAGCTGGGGGTGGGGTGGGGTGGGGGAGGAAGCAGTAATGCTCTGAATTTCCCTTAAGGCCCCCACCATAGCATCTCTATGCAGGAATGGCAGGGAATTAAAATGGCAGCTAGTAATCCCAGGTAAATTTTTAAAGATGGGCCCCAGCATTGGTGGCATAGAAACAGTTTCAGATGCCTTACACTTGACAATGGAGTTGTGAAGGAATGTAGATCTTTCCTTGGCAATAAGAAATGCAACTCAAAATAATCTCACCCTCATTTTGTTTAGTATAAAACGGGATGCAGAGAAACTTTGACAGGCTTTCCAAATTCTATTCTGTCTTATACAATAAAGAGCATTCCAGAAACTCCTGCTTTGACTTTGTCTACCTCAAAGAGCTGACAGACACTGTCACCTAAGTTCATTGGATAGCAAATAAGACCTTGTGCAATGTGTGAAATGGCTCTAATGGACAAGAGAAAACTGGAATCTGGACATTTCCTTAAATGATCAATTGCTGATACAGTATAATAAAGCAATATTTCTCTATTGGAACTACAAAACATAACTGCTACTCAGCAGAGATATTGGCTATGTGAGATGGGAATTGGAGGAAAAGGAGTCAGATTGGAGAAGGCTACATCTTTCCCTCTTATCAACTTAATTGCATAACATGGTAATAACTGTATTAAAATGGCATTTGCAATTCTACCTGACTTCACTTGTGACCATTGATGGAAGACTGAATCCCAGCCAGGTTTATCATTGTCTCATTAATGAAGGGACTGCAACTATGATATAAGCAACTCCCTTTGAAAAATATTGACTTAGAGATTATGATTCAAATATTTTGAGGTTCAAAGTCTATTTCACAAATGCAGCCTTCATTGATGAACAGCTACATATTCATAGGAAAAAATGGGTAGGAAATTCAGCATCAAATCTCACTACAGTTTGCTTCACTATCAAAAAGCAAGGAAGGTCATACTATGTATGCTCATAGAGTCCCTATTTTTCCCCTCCTTGGAGTTCTCCTGATCTACCTTATTAATCCAGAAATGTTATGCACTACCTGTTCCCATAATGGTTCCCTCAAAGAAACAAATGTGTTTGGACTTCAAGTAAACTAAGACCAGCACCCCAAATCCTGAAAATCCATTTTCCTCCACCAAAATTCCCTTGCCCTTTTTGTAAGGACTTGCAGCCCCATGTAGGGGTAGGAAAAGGAAGGGTGCTCCTGGATATAAAAATGATCTAGCTAACATATCCACTCTGGTCTCTACTAGTGTTCAGAGAGGTGTTCCCATGTCACTTACCTTATTTATGAGACTGGAAGCTAAAACATATAAAGAACAGTTGCTGGAATTGGGTATGTCTAATTTAATGAAAAGAAGGACTAGGAGGTGACAGAAAAGCAGTGTTCCAATATCTAAGGGGTTACCACAAAAAAGAGGGACCTATTCTCCAAAGCATCTGAAGGCAGGACAAGAAGAAATGGATGGAAACTAATCAAGGAGAGAAGCAACCTGGAACTAAAGAGAAACTTCCTGACAGTTAGAACAATTAATCAGTGGAACAACCTGCCTCCAGAAGTTGTGAATGCTCCAACACTGGAAGTTTTAAGAAGAGATTGGACACCATTTGTCTGAAATGGTATGGTATGGTAATTCTGTTAATTGTGAAATATACAAAACATTAGCAAATGACAACAGAAGGATCTACACATGTCCAGCAAAATCAAGTTGCATAAAGCTCAGTCTACTGGCTGTTCTTTTTATTTCAAACTCAATTCAATTCTATCAAATCTCTCAGAGCAATTTACTGTATCACATGTGTCAGCTCAGGCATCTCCTGTTTCTAACATAATGTCTTACCCAGGCCTCTTTTCTGTTCTATACAGGAAAGCCTGTGTGGCTTCTGTTCTTAGATTGGTACATGGAAAAGCCAAAGTTCTATTAACTCCCAAGAATCTGGGAGTGGAATAGCTCACAGACAGCCTTGCAGATTAATTCTCTAAAGCGTAAAGTATCTAGGTAGCCCATTATCTGTACAGCAATTTATACAGGGCATACAAACCGACCAATAATATATATTTATTTTGCATATTGGCAGTTTGAAAGACACCACTGGGCTAAAAACCTCTTGTCCAATTTTAAATTAAAAGAATAAAATAAAAATCATGGGGGAGGGGGAATAAAAGAATTGTGAGGAGATCCATGTAGGAAATATGCATATCCCATTCTGATCAATAGGACCCTTCCAGGATCTTTGCAAACAATATTTCCCAACAGCTGTTATGGGATTGTTTTTTCCCTTCCATCAGAAATTTCATGAATGAATTGCAAAGAAATTCTGGGCTTGTCTCACAGGGCTTAGTCTCCTTCTGATGAGTTTTGTCTTTATGAAGTAGTTAAATAGCTAAAGAACCAGGCTATAAACTGGAAATCTAGAAGTTCTAGGCAAGAAGCCAGTCACCTTGGGCCAGTCTCTCTCTCTCTCTCCCTCTCTCCCTCTCTCTCTCTCTCTCTCTCTCTCCCCCCTAGGAAAGAGACATTGGCAAATCACTTCTGAAATCCTTGCTAAGAAAACTTCAGAGACTTTGCTCAAGCAGTAGCCAGGAATCAAGACTGGTTTGAAGGCATCAAAACCAACCAACCAACCAATTTTATTATCTAAAAAAGAACTGTCCAACTGCCTCTCCCTGGTTCCCTCTTGCTTACCTATTAGGTGACTAGGAGGATGGCTAGTGGTAATCAAGAGGCTTGAGAGTTTAATCCTGCTTGTGCTTATTTATTTATTTTTACTTCCTACTTTTTTCCTGTGAAGGAATTCAGGATAGCAGAAATTGTAGTCTCCTTCTGTGATCATTGGCCAGACCAAACCAGACTGCGTAAGCAGGACTGCCCTAGAAATACTTGCAGGCTGCCCATATGTGTTTGAGTTGTGATCTCTTCAGTTAAAAGCACCAAGTGATGTGCAAATCTCCTGTCTGCCATCAGAGGAGGTACTCCAGCAGCCTGATCTAAGGCAACCTCCTTGACTAAATCTCCCTTTAAGAGGATCTCAAATAACACAGCCAGGCAAGAATTCTCCCAAGAACTTGGAGAACCGCTGCCAGGCTCAAAATAGCCAATACTTGGCTCAACTGGACCACTTGTCTCTGGCAGCATAAATGGATGAGCTCAGAATAAGGTGGCAAATCTGTCCTCAACTCCTGAAATGTGATTCATGATTTTACCTACAGTATTTTGTAGATATGTGGGGCCAGAACACCCAAGGAATTGACATATAAACAATAAATCTTCTGTATCCTGTCTCATCTTCTGTATCCCAGAAACCTGTTTCTAGACTGCCCGTACTGGGTCAGAAAGGAAGATTTGCTAATTTCAATGGGATTCACTTCAGTGGACTTGGTTAGTTTTGCAATGGATTCAGGGAGCATCAGCAGCCTTGCACCGCACGATTAAAAATGCATACTTTTTTTCTCTAAATCTTCATCCTCTGTATTTACTTTTCCTGGATGGTCCTACATTTCCTTTATTCTCCCTGCATGAAAACCAGCAATTCATTAATACAATTCCTTCAAACCCATTCCACGCACACCCGCAAAAAAAAAAAAATAAAAAAAAAAATTCAAAACCGCACGCGGGCCAACCACTCCCGCGATGCGACCTCCTGAAAGATCCTCCCACGCGTCCGCACGAGCGGGAAGCAGCCCGTGCAAGAGGTAAAAACATTGCGTCGCAGTGCACCACGCGACGTTGGCGCTTGCTTCCTTCTCCCACCGCGTTTGACCGCAAAGGCCGGTGAGAAAGTGAGAATCCGGGAGCGTCTTACCTGCGTCGCTCCAACAACGGGCGTGCGGCGAGGTGGGGAGGGGATTCCCTTCCCGTGCAGGCAGAGCTGCCAAGGGAGGCGGCTGGGGAGAGCGAGCGGCAGCAACTCCCTCCCGGAGAGGCGCAGTTGCAGGTTAACCCCGCGCCTTCGCCCGGCTCCTCGAGTCACGGCAGAGAAAGCGCCCCCCCCCTCGCCCGCGCTTCCCCTCCCTCTGGATGTTTTGGACCGACTTTAAAAGTTTCAGCTACCGTCAGCATCCGTTTAACGCCCCCTACCGACCTTCTTCTGAGTTAACCCTCTCTGAGGAGAATTTGGTGACTTTTATCATTGGTAGCGGTGAAATGGTATCCCGCTGGCCTGAGCTTTGCAAAGGAAAGAAATCATGTTTTAATATTTGCATGCATGTCACGTGTAGGGTTGTTTTTTTTGTTTTTTTTTTTACAAAGAGAAGGATCTCTGATTCCTGATCTTTAATCTTTCTCAATCAGACTTTCACATAAAGAAAGATAATCCTCGATTTACGACCAAAATTTATATTCCTAAGTGAGAACTTTGTTAAAGGAGTTTTGCCCCATTTTACGACTTTTCTTTCCACGTTTGTTAAGCGAAACACTGCAGTTGTTAAATTAATAAAATGGTTGTTAAATGAATCTGGTTTCCCCACTGACTTTGCTTCTCAGAAGGTTGCAAAAGGTGATCACGTGACCCTGGGACACAGCAACCGTCATAAATGTGAGTCAGGTCAAGCATCTGAATGTAAATCACATGACTATGGGGATGCTGCAATAGCCATAAGTGTGAAAAATTATCATAAGTCACTTTTTTCAGTGCTGTTGTAACTTTGAATGGTCACTAAGCAAACTGTTGTAAGTTGAGGACTACCTGTATTTTACTTATTTGCAGAGGAGTTCTATCACCATCACCATCTTAATTACTGTTGATGCAGTCCACCTGCAATTAATAGAATATGAGTTTATTTTCCCCTAAAATTCCAGAGTTCAGAGGAAATCTCAGGTACTCTTCTGCTCAAACATCTGCAAAACAAAGAAAAACAATGGTGGGCTTGAGGGAGCACCAAGCTTTGCAAGAATGAAAAAAAAATAGTAAAAATAAATTGCAAATGGGATCATGCTGTAAGAATAAAACTGAATAAGCAAGGCTGATTGACACCTGGAACAGCAGCACATCATTTTGTGGCCCCTTGCTAAGAGCCATTAATCAGGACTGTTAGATTAACTGGATCTTGCAAATTCAGATGCTGACTAGTGGTGTTGAGAAATCCAGAGCTCCTTTACCTTCTTACAGGTTGGCATTTCAGGAGCCAGCATGAGCATCACCCAACCCGTTGACTTTAGAAGGCAAGAATGCCATGTTTCCCACTTTCCTTCCTTTCTGGTTCCCTCCTGAAGTCAAAAGGCAATGGAATTTTGCTGTCCTTTCTTCATGATCGCTTAGCACAGGGGTCCCCAATCCCTGGTCATTGGACCGGCACCAGGCTACAGCATGCCAGAAACTGGTCCGCGCAAACAAGCAAAGCCCTATCCGTGAGATACAGGCAGCACACAAAACCACGCAACCTTCGATCCGCAGAAAAACCTCTCTCCATAGAACCGGCCCCTGGTGCCCAAAAGGTTGGGGACCTCTGGTTTGGCAGAAGTAGTTTTGCCACTGTCCTGGATCATAATTGTTTTTCTTCCCTGACAAACAAGTGTGGTGAGGCAAGAATTGGAGTGAGGATGCATTGGATACAGCTGTGTTTCTCAATCCTGATCACTGTAAGTTATGTGGACTTCAATTCCCAGCATGCTGGCTTGAGAATTCTGGAAACTGAAGTTCACACAACTTAAAGTTGTCAAGGTTGAGAAACATTGAGATAGAGTGTAGCTGTGTTGTCTTGTGGGCAATAATGATGAGGATGGTGTGTCATGTGCAGTTCTGAGGACTTGGGAGCAGGAATGTCTACAGGAGGGATTTAAAAAAAGGCTGTTATCTTGATTTTTCATTCCTTGCCTCCTTTCTGCAGATACTGCTCTTCAGTGTTGAGAATGGAGAGCATGTAGAAAGGCTTAAATTAATTAACAGGATTGTTATTCTGATTTAAAATGTGATAATCTGAGGAACATTCATTTTAAAGTTATTTTTTAAGACATTTAGAAAAACAACAGAATCAAAACTCTCAAAAAATGAAACATTCACAAATTGATATGTTATTTTAAAGCAGGAAGGCCAACCCATGATGTGTAAGCTGCCCATAGCCTCAGTCGCATTCCGTGAAACCTGCATGCTGTGTTGTGTACTGCCAGAATCCTGGAGTAAAATACCACTTTTCCATAGTGTCCTTTTGCCCCCTGCATATGGTTAAAAATATCTGTAATGAAACCTCTCCAGAATCCCCAATCTTCAAAATGTCAGTTCAGCCTATATAACAACATCACTGTATCATCAGCAATGTAGTTTTCAGAGACCATTAAAAAAAAAGAAGGAAAATTCAACTTTTGAGCCCAAATGTTGTTTGTGCCTGTCTTAAGTTTTTGTACATTTTGTTCATTTATGATTTATGACTGCACTGAGTCAATGTAGGAAAAATCTTTCCATCTTTGCTCTGTTGTATCATCAACATTACTTATGGAAAATCATTGTGTATACTTTAAAATGTAATGTAGAATACAATAGAAGTAATATGAAACAAAGGATATAGCAAGTAACCAGCTAAGTACAGCAGAAAACAGGATGGGTTAAAAGGGGACAATTTTAGTGCTTCTATCTTGAGTGGTCCTCAATAAGAGATTTAAACGTAAGGTTATATTTCTAGCTTTGAAAATAGTGGGCTTTAATTGTAGCAGAATGGATCTCATGTCTTCTAGTGTCAGGATGTACAGTTTTTTTTAAAGATGCAGCACAGCAGAGAGCTCAGTGGGGCACACATGCCTGGAAATAATATAGTATTGAATAAATATGCATTCGATGGAATCATTCAAGTAAGAAAAAATAATTATTTTTGCACACTGTATTTACTGTGGCATAGATATTTATTCTACCAGTGTTTAATAGTACCTACTTGTTTAGTATGTACTTGGCACTGAATATAAGATTTTTTTAAAATTTTGTTTTACAATGATATATATTGTATATCAGTTTTCATAGCCTTCTTATAATATAAGATAGTCCTCAGGTTGGAATTTCATCTGCTGTGCAACACAAAAGACTCAGAACACTTTGCACAAGATGTCTTATTATTACCACATTTGATACAGTGTCTCTTTGTGTCATATACAGTATTTAAGTAGCTTAGATGTACCAGCATCAGTTTTTCCTGATGTGGAGATAAGCAATGGGCAAAAACCTTGATGGGATAGGCTGTGGGATAAGAAATTAGACTCCCCATCTTAGCCAGCATACATTGATAAATTCTGTTCAATGTACAAACATATGAACGAATGTAAATATGTATTGGAGTTCTTATTTTAATCTTACTGAAATTCCCCAGAGAATCTTACAGTCCTACACTTGCTAAAAGATAAAAAAAATGCACCAGTGAGACATGATTTATATTTCCATGTGCAATTTATTGATTGACAAATAGATATATTGCATTATATCATTTGAATAGAAACACATTAGAACATAGTAGGTGTCTGTGATCTGCTGAACTCTGGGATCTTCCTCACACCTATGTTAAAGTGCTTTTTTCTATGCCTTGTTACAGTAGGCAGAACATTAAGCCAGCATACTCTGTATTGCCCACATTACTGAACAAGTCCAGAAAGTAAGGCTTGTCCTTTAACTCCTGGACAAGTTAAAGAAAGCTATTGGTGCCCTCTCATTAATTGTCATCAACAAGCAAGAAAAACATCTACCAATCACTCCTGGGTTGGTTTTGATGGAGGCTGGAATGGCTGGTTTAGCCATTCTTTCTATTTTGAAATAGTGCTAAACCGATGTTTAAAATAAATCTCTGGGAAGACAAGCAACAGAAATAAAGGAAAAAACCCCCACTAATTCTGGCAGGATTCATAAATGAAGTTCATCAGCAGACGCTGATCAAAATGTTGATGGTGATAGGTGCTGAAGGAAACAGCGTCCATGGAAGAAATATCCTTGCTAGAAAAGGAAGAGACTATGGCTAACCTGGTTGGAACCTGGATTCAGGGAAAGATGGGTTGAGTTGAAATGAGAGAAGATCGGGAGGAGCTCCCAGTGAACCTGTAGTTTCCTATAGGAATTCTTTAAAAGCTTCTTCTTTTCCACCCACTACCCTCTTCAGCTACAACTAGTATCCTATCTCCATGCCCAAATCAAATGACCATGGAAAGTATTGCTGAGCAACTGGAGGGGAAGGATATATCCATATAGCTTGAAGTGGCCAATGACAGCTAGGCAGATGCCAGCTTGACTGGATCATCAACCATCCACCAATGAGGTAACATAGTAAAGCATCTTTGTGCTGAAGTTAGAGGGATGTGGGATGAGCCTTACATGTCTGCTTCATCTGCTGTTCCAAGTATTACCTGTTAATGGAATACTTCAGCTCCTTGCTTACCATTTTATGATTCTTTATCTTCTAATCACATTTGGACTGGACGATTTTTCACTGGAGGACCATGGAGGACTTCAAACTGTACAGGGCTACTGGATCTCACATTCAAAAAAGAAGACATGTTTTGCATATTAATGTGCATATTTTTATGTAATACTTGCATAACATTTTAGTCAACTGGCCATAACAGCCTATCCCTTTGGTTGTGTTTTTGTATGCCTGCTTTCAATCAGATGTAATACCCTTAAACAAGTTGTATTCTAATTCTATGGCAAATAATACAAACATAGATTCTGGGGCTACTTGAAATTAGATAGGGAGTTCAAAACAACATAACAATCCTCGACAAGACAACAAGCAGTAATATAAATCACTGTATATGATGTGATAAAGTATCCAAAAATAAACTAAAACCATTTTAAAATTTCCTTTTTTTCTATTTCTTCCTACTGTGCCTTTGAATATTTATCATTAAAATAACTCTTTAGCAGAGCTTGATTTTTCAACAAATATATGTGGAAGTTTTTGCAGTACAGTAGCAACCATTAACATACTGAGAAAAAAACAGTAAAAGAAA